AGCGGATGTTTGTGAGGTTGGGCCGGAGCTGAATTCCCTTGGAGCCATGTGGCTGGCCAAAATTCGCCCTGTGACATTTCTCCGTGCCTAAATACACTTTATCTAGCAGAAGACTGTATACCCTTAAGGGAATAAACAATGTATGTAAACTATGGAGACATGGTAAAAATGAACTTGTCTGTTAAAAATATAATGGCAAATAATAATTGTCATTGCTGTTTCTTTTCACCAGCATGAACAATCCCTCTTGAAATACTTTTCATGCCGCTGAGGAAATATGCACGTGCATTGTTATTTTTGTTATCAATCTCCCTCATTCATTTCTTAGTGCAAGGCCTTTCCAGAGGATTGGCAATAGTCTTTCTTTTACAATGAACAGTTTGATTTAGGGGTGTTGCTACCCATCATTGCTACATTGGTGGAGAAATTAAATGCTTATGAACTAATCTATACTGTCCTCCCAAACCATAGATTTTGGTAATGGAAGGTTCAGTTTAATGCTCTGATAAACTGTGGTCTGATATATATTGTGTCAATTAGTATAGAAGGTAGATGTGGAGTGAAATTTTATATTTTCAGCAACATTGTAGATTTCATTTTGAAATGAATAAGTGCCTGGGTAAATGTGAAAGAATTGCATTTTTCATTATAAAATAAATGAGAAATAGGTTACTAAGGAAGCATCTTTTCTTCATTAGATGTTTGAGTACTTCCTTGTTTCCCTATACAAGTCAGCCTCCCTGGCATAAGGGTGTAGATTTAAAGCTCCAGCAGGACTGCATGGACAGTAAGATAGTACTTGGAAGACGACTGTTTGAACATGTGTTTAAAGCCCGAGATTTGGTTGAAAACCTGCTGAAGTGGAACAATTGTTCTTGTAATAAAGTTATGAGATACCATTAGAGGGGACCTATGTGAAAAAGGAAAATATTTCTTTGTGGAAGCAAGTTTACCTCACTGGGAGGGTTACATTTGTGGAGTTTGTTCAGACAGGAGTGTTGTACATAGTGTGGCTTTTCAATACGTCAATACCAACATAGAGAAGATGGCTATGAAGGCTGAGAGGGCATATTGATGTGAACAAGTCAAGTTTGCCTGCCAGGAAGAGGACGTCTTTGCCAAACTTTCTCTTCTTGGTTTTGCCATCATGGCATGAGGGTCAGGGCTAGTGGATCTGTGTGAAGGCCCCAGGTGATGTGATATAGTGATGTCAGGCACCTCAGTAATAGGAAATAATCACATATATTGCTGTTGTGTAAAAGTGTTGGAGATGTTTCCAAACAGATAGCAAATCTTGGTCTGACGCTATGAGGTGGCAGTGAGTATATATGCTGGCTCCTGCAATGTTACGAGTTAGTGCACCCTCTGTTCCTTCTTGCTCTAGGGAAGAGTGACACAGCTGTTGTGCTTCCTTGGCTGCTTAGTCTGTAGGTGGGAGGGAGAAATGACCAGTGCCTAGCAGCTCCTGGGAGTGAGAAAAGAAAGCTACACAGAGTGGGCTGTGAGGAGACATGTCTGAACAACCTTTGCCCAAATGAGCTTGGGGCAGTGGGTGGAGCACGCTGTGTACAACACTCAGGTGCTGTAAGACCAGTAAATAACTCCTGACACCTCAGGCATGCCTGACTGCTGTGCTTTGTTGCCCTGGATAAATGCCCCTTTCTGTCCATCTGGTCTCTATTTCTGCCCAGAACTGTACCAACCACTGGCTGGAGACTGTTCTTCTAAAATGAATTAAAATCTAGTCCAAGACTAGAGAGAATGTTGATGGAGTGCAGAAGCAGTTCTTGCTTTTAAGAGCCCAGTGTCCATGTTTTTAGCACTCAAATCCTGCGTGTAAGAGGAAAGCACCTGTAATGTGAGTGGAGTGATGGCGACAGGAGACTGTGCGTGACTGTCTCTTTGGCGGATGTTGATACTGTGGATGGCGGTGCAAGCCCATTTCGGTCTGGGGTATCTCCAAAGCAAAGCACCATGAGTAGTACAAAACAGCCTCTGCCTTTTCCTAGCCAAGGATCTGGACCCTCGAGCAGCGCTAGACAGAGGAGGGTTGCTCCTCTTGTAGTTCCTTGCTGTCTGAAATCCATCCCGCCCAGTGCATATGAATCTGCCTCTTGGAGGGGCTTCTTGGCTGTCGCTGGCCTGGCAGAAACAGCTGTGGAGATGTCTTTGCTCATATGTGTGGTGATAGCCCGCTCTCAATGAATACAGCCTGTGTCAAGAGCAGAATTACATTCTTGGGCTCAGTCACCGCCTCTCTTCAATTGGTCTGACCTTTCCACTGTGGTTTTGTAGGGTGCCTGCTCCACAGAGCTGGTCACTGTGTCTGGTGCTCAAGACCAGTGTTTTGAAGCTTGACCTTTCTCTGGGGATTTAGCCCTGCTCCTGAGGATTTAAAGTGTCAGTTGCATTGAGTAACGGAAAGTATGTTCATTAACAATGTTCTATTTAAAATACAAAGCAAATGTAAGGATGGCAAGAAGTGTCAGATGACAGGGACTGAGAATTACTTTTTCCATTCAGAGCCTGAGCAGATGCAGGGTGGCCTTCCTCAGCTGCTGGTATCTTCAGTCTCTCTCTCTGCGAGTAAAAGGGGAGCTCAGTCATGGGGTGTCGTGTGCCGTACGGGAGTGCAGTGGTACTTCTTGTGCAGAATATTTCTTTCTTTAGCTGAACAAAAAATATAAGAGGAAGGAGCCTTTTTTGAGGAGTATTCCCAGGCTCAGAGCTCTGAGTGATGCTTGGGTTACTAGTATGGAGGCAGTAGGTTGAAACAAGTTCAGCCTTTAAATGGTTTTGAGGCAAACTAGGAGGTTTCCCTGCTCTCCTACAGATGAGGCGCTGGTGCAGTTTGGAAATGCCTAAACAGCGCTTTGGGGTTGGGTATCTTTTGTATGGGATTTATTGATGAAATTAAAGCTGACTGTAAGAGAGGGTTTGGTGTGTTTCACAATTTAAAAAAAAAAGTCATTACATTTCAAAAACATCTTGTTTCTACATTTTCAGAATAAATAACAAAACCAAAATTGGTTCATGTTGAAGCTGTCACTATCTGAAAGAGGCTGGTATGTAAGGACTTTGCCATTTTTTTATAAATGACTGAATTATTTAAAGTGACCCAAAAATGTTTTTGTCTTATAAGAACATGAATGCTTTTTCAGATATTTGTCTAAATTTGGGGATTTTTAAAAATTACTAAAACTTTGGATAGCATAAAAATCCATTCCCTGTGCACCTCTATGAAATACTTTGAGACTCAGTCTCAGTTTAATGGGAAAGGAGTATTCTCTTATTTTTCATCTGTTTTGCCTGTAAAAATTATTTCTGCTTTAGTATTTGAGGAGTGAGAGTAATGTGGTAATGCTACCTTGATTTCTTGCAATTAGAGTTCAGAGAAATACTGTCAGGCTGGTTATGTGTCATAACCTAGCATTGTGTTTTAAACAAAAATATGAATGTGAGTTTTTAAAAATAGATGGCTTAAAAATCTGTATACTTCTGCAAGTATAAGTTGTCACCCCATTTCGTTAGTGTTGTCTGGGCTTGGGCCCCAAATATTTTAGAAATTAATAAAACTTGCAATTTCAGAAAGGAAAATATGATGGCAATTTCAGCCTTATGTTTAGGGCTGCATCAAACCTTGGACTAGGCTGGTTCTGTGACTACATGTCAATGCAGTGTGACAGGGCAATGTAAAAAGGAGGCTGATGGCATATATGGTGAAATGTTGGTTTGTGTTTTTTTTTTAATTTCCCAGTGACAGATTTGCAGTTTCTTGGAAAGAGGAACCACATGGAGCAAGTGCGTATAGGCAGTATATTGAGGAACAGTAGGGTGTCTAGCAGTCCCTTGAGAAATGGCCTCCAGGCTCAGTTCCTATAAATAACTTGCTTTAGTATGTCTCATACTTTTTTGTTGCCTTTTTGAGATAAGGTTAAATAACAACAACTTTTTTTCTTTCCTCTTTATCAAGGGTTTTTCCCATTGTGCATGTAGCAACCACAACCCCTGTGAACTACCTGCTGGCCTAAGTCTCTGGGCAGGGTATTATTCAGAGATTCATTTGGCCCTGTCTACCAGCATGGTGAGGGTTTAAATGGGAGATTTTTTTGGGAAGCCTCAGTGCAGTGGCAGCTGCTGTTTCAATGGCTGTGGTTTATTCTGGTGCCAGCTGCCCCTGCTGCACCTGTTGGCACTTGAATTATGGTCATTTCATGCATAGTAACTTAATAAGGCAAAGTTGAATTTTAATAGAACAAGCAGACACTCAGATGGGGATTAAGGCAGTTTCATGATCACTTAAGGAAAACAGATAGGAGCTACATTTTAAGGGCAGGGATGTGCAGGTAACAATACTTCCCTGAGCAATGGCCATTCCCACTGTCACTGCAGAAGAGGCAGTTGAACTGCTTGTGCCATGGCCTAGCGAATGACGGCCCCAGGGCCAGTTTCCAGGTACAGAGCCTTTTGGGGTGGCTGATATCTCCGATTGCTTTTTCTAGTTGTCCATAAAACTAAAAATACAGGCGGTAGCTCAGATCCCTTCCTAATAGTGTTGTGGACCTGTTGTTGCAGCATTACAGAGGGGGGTTTG